AAGGAAGGCTAGCAGGGAGCAGGAGAGCGACGGGGCAGAACTTCAGGGTCCTCCGTTCAGGACTGCACTCCTCTAACAGATCTCTGTAAATATGTCATTTCTTGGGCAGCAGATGGCATACTGGTTATGTCTCTGGACTCCCATGTAGTCTACCATGTTGTGAGTCCTGGACCCAGGGGCTTAACTCACGCCGGATCCATGTGTGTAAGTGCCCAAAATCCTGAGAGGAGAGTGGAGGAGACGGGATTGTGGTGAGGTCATCCCTCCTGGGCGGGCGATTTCTCCCTTTCTGTCTCTCTGTCTTTCCAGTGACCACACGTGCCCTATAGCAAAAATCTCTCTTAAACAAAAAAAGATGTCATTTCTCCTGGAAGGTTTTTATTTCCATCGCCCCACCACATCTAGCCACAGAATGCAGCATGGAGGAATCCATGAAGGAGCAGCTTAATGACAAGCTCAGAATGGGAGTGTGCAGCAGAGACAGAGGGTCCGGGTGCTGTGGAGCCCCCAGGTTTAGGCCCCTGGTCAACCTGAACATGCTGGGTACACCCACAGGCACACCCATGATCCTGGTTGGCTGGGAGGCTGGGGGGAGGATCGTGGTGTGGCAAGATCCTGCAATGGTTACTCTCTCTCTCATGAAATGAAAAAACCAAAAAGGATGGAAAGGCAGGAAAGGAAGAAGGACATCGGGAGCGTGAGGGGAAGGAAAGAAAAGGCTACAAGGAAAGAAGTGACTCTTGAGTACTAAGTGCTTCCTTTGGGTTCTCAAGTCTGCTCCTGTGAGTCGTGCGACCTTTCGGGCAATGTCTGTACTACCTTCTTTTTTTTTTTTTTTTTTTTGAGAGGTCTTTGTTATAGGGCGCATGTGCTCGCCAGAAAGAGAGACAGACAGAGAGAGAGAAAGTGAGAAATCACCCCCCAGGGGGGGTGGCCATGCTGCAATCCCTTCTCCTCCATTCTCCGCTCAGGATCTTGGGCATGCATGCACACGTGCCTGGAGTGAGTTTAAGCCACCAGGTCCGGGACTCAAACTGCGGTCGACTACGTGGGAGTCCAGCAACATAGCCATTACACCAACTGCTGGTCCCATGTACTACCTTCTCAGAGCGTGGTCTCAGCCCAACAACAGAGACAGAGGGTCCTGGTGCTGTGGAGCCCCCACGTTTAGACCAACAGCATTGGCATTTGCTATTCTTTTTTTTTTTTTTTAAAGAGGGATTTTTGCTATATGGCACGTGTGCTTGCTGGAGAAACAGAAAGAAACACACAGAGAGAGAGAAGGACAGAAAGAGAGAAATTACCCACCAGGGGGATGGCCATGCTGCTGCAATCCCTTCTCCTTCATTCTCCTCTTGAGATTTTGGGCACGCATGCACACACGTGAGTTTTAAGCTGGTGGGTCTGGGACTTGAACTGTGGTTAACTACGTGAGAGTCCAGCAACTTAACAATTACACATCAGCTGATTCCCTGCTATTCTTCTTTTAAAAATGTTTTTTTGTTAATTTCTTCCAAGAGGGAGAGGGAGAGAAAGACAGAAAGATAGACAGGTACCCTCCACAAGGTCCCACCACGCCATAATCCCCTCAACCACCATGCTTCCAGCCAGCCAGGATCACAGGTGACCCAGTACAGGTTCAGTGTGGCCCAGATCTAATGCAGGCCTTCTCACAAGGCTCCCGTGTTGCACAGCAGCACCCCACTGTCTGCTCCACCACAGCCGGGTCCATCATCCTCATTATCCTTCCTCTACCAGAAATAGAGAAGGAGGTGCAAGAACCAGAAGCAGGAGGGCGGTCTCACTGGTCTCTTCCTTCTGACTCAAATAGAGCCCCACCGCAGGACTTCTGCACTTACTCTCCTGGTTCCTGGAATGGTCTTCCTTCAGGATTTTTCTTTTCTTTTCTTGTCTCTTCTCTTCTCTTCTTTTCTTACCTTTTTTTTTTTTTTTTTTTTTTTTTAGGTTTTTGTCATAGGGTGCATGTACTCATTGGAAAGAGACAGAGAAAAACATCCTGGGGGCAGAGGAATGGCCACAACATAATCCTTTCTTCTCTATTTTCCTTTCTGGATTTTGGGCATGCACACACGTGCCTGACATGATTTTCAAGCTGCCGGGTCCAGGACTTGAACCATGGTCAAACATGAAGGACTCCAGCCTCTTAACCACAATGCCACCTGCTGCATCCCCCTTTAGGGAATTCTTACTTCCTCACTCCACACACGTCCTTTGTCAAATGTCACCCCTTGTAGAGAGTCTTTCTTTGATCGTCCTCTCCAAAGAAGCCTTGGTCCAGCCCAGCATGCTCTGACCCAGCTTTGCTCCACACTGATCCACAGCCTTAAGATCTGACATCACAGTATGTATTTCTTTTTTAAATAATTATTTAATTTAATATGTTATTATTCCTTAAAAAATTTTTGCTATAGGGTATGTGTGCTCATGAGAGAGAGGGAGGGAAAGTGAGAAAACAAATCGTCAGGTCCAGGACTCAAACCATAGTATGAGTCAGCCATGTGGGAGTCCAACAACTTAACCACCACGCCACCTGCTGGTCCTTACAGTGCATGCGTTTTTAATTATTGCCACTTCTCTCACATTGCAGTGAGCTCCGTGAGGACAGAGATTATTGTACTTTTTTTTTCACTTCCATATTCCCATCACCTGGAACAGGCCTGTCAGACAGCTGTCATTCGAACGAATAGTGATTGAATGAATGAGTGAGTGAGTGAACCAGTCTGGCCCTCTCCTTTCAGTCCTGACTCTACTCTGTCCAGGGCAGGGTAAGTCACCAGCAGCACTGTCGACATTTGAGGCCAGATCGTTCTTTGGTGCAAGGCTGCTCTTGCCAGCAGGATGTTTAACAGCATCTGCATGCTCCACCCCTTACAGGCTGGCAGAACCTGTTCCTTGCCCTGAATGACAATCAAAAACGTCTCTAGACGTTGCCGAACGTCCCCTGGTGGGTAAATGTCCCGGGTTGAGAGCTGCCAGGGCAGTGCCAGGCTGACTGAGCTGGTGCCGTGTTATTATTAGGAATAGTATTTGTGAATGACTAAAAGTGGATGCTCAGTAATGAAAAAGGGGACGAAGATGTCTAAATGAGTCCTCACTGAGGCTGCTGATTTCACCCAATTATTATCTGATGATTATAATACCAACAGTGATGGTACCAGGAGTCAAAATTATTATATAGGATGGATTTGGCCTAATTATTGTATTTGACTAAGAATGAACACAAACAAAAATACGCCACAGTCCTATACCCAACACCCTGGAGACATGCAGAAAGACTCGGCATGTTATATATGTGGTTATAAGAACAGCCTAACTACTGGGCTCACTCATCTGAGGTTCTAATTTAAAAAGTATAAAAAATCTATCAACGTTTGATGATACACATTGTCTTGGCAATACAGACCTTAAAAAATTTCCCAACTCAGTAATTTTTTAAAAATTTTGCCTAAGGGTGTATGCGCTTGCTAGAAAAAGACAGATGGAAAGAGATTCAGGGAAAATGAGAATCCATCCCCCCATGGGGAAGGGTCATGCCACAATTCCTTCTCCTCCATCTTCTCCTTTTGGGATTTTAGGCATGTACATACATGTACCTAGCATGTTTCTCAAGCTGCTGAGTACAGAAATTGAACTGTGTAGCCAGCTATGTGGGATCTAGCTACCTTAATCATCATGTCATGGGCTGGTCCATGTGTTTTCTTTAAATTTTTTCCTTTGTTTTCTTTGAAGAATTATTTATTTAATCTTATTTGTTGTTATTATTTTTATTTTTTTAAATAATTATTATTCAATTTTATTTATTTCTTCTTTTCCTTCAATTCAACCAGAGAGAAAGAAGGAGAGTGAGAAAGCAAGCCCCCAGGTTCAGGACTCGAACCACAGTCAGCCATGTGGGTGTCCAGCACCTTAACTACCACACCACTTGCCAGGCCCCTGCTATAATTTTAAAATTTGTTACAGGGAACAGAACATATAGTCACTAAAGAGAGAGAGAACGTGAGAGAGCAAGCCACCAGCTCTGGTACTTGAACTGCAGTTGGCAATATGAGAGTCCAGCGCCTTAAACACCACGCCACTTACTGGACCCCTATTATCTTTATTTTTTCCTAGGAGATCTTGGCAAGTTTCTAATATATTTTTTTCTGAGAGTTTTTTTTCGCTATTGGGCGCGTGCACTCGCCAGACAGAGAGAGATAGAGGGACAGAAAGCGAGAAATCACCCCCCGGGGGTATGGTCACGCCGCAATCCCTTCTCCTCCATTTTCCTCTTGGGATCTTGGGCACGCATGCACATGCCCCCAGTGTGAATTCTAAGCCACCGGGTCCGGGACGTGAACCATGGTCGACTACGTGGGAATCCAGCGACATAGCCATTATGCTAACTGCTGGTTCCCTAATTTATTTTTGAAATGTTCATTTAGTTAATTTCTTCCATGAGTGAAAGAGAGAGAAAGAAAGAGAGCACATTTCCAACAGGGTCTCGGCACTGTGATCCGCCCCAGCCTTCAGCCAGCAGATCGTGGGCAAGCATGTGCCCATGGTGCTCAGGGAGGTTTCCAGACTCAAACTGAGAACCTTCCCAAGTACCTCCTGCAGCATTGCACTTTACCTCAGCACCACCGTCTGGCACCCACTAATTCCTAAAAACATCTTACAGTGAAATGAGTCTAATAAAGAACTAAAAGCGTTTCTCAATTTTACTGAAAAAAAAAAAACGGTAAATTAATTTGTTTGAGTTGTGGAACTTTTGTTTTCAGAATGATGAAGAACGCAGACAGATTCACTTTAAAGTTTTAGACCCAGATAGCTGGCACTGCGGGAAATGACTTCAACTGGTCCAAGGGTTTCCCTTTTCTCTATTTGGTTTAAAAACCAAATCTATGTCACACTTGTGGTCAATTATGTAACATTTACCATTTGTTCCCTTAAAAGAAAATATCAACTCCTATGCTTACAAATGTAAATTAAGGACTTCTTACCTTTAAAACAAAGCAGTAGTCAGTGGGTGCTTTGTATTTCATTTTACACTGAATCCCATAGTAAATGTTGACATTTTCAAACTGTATGAAACATGCCAGATCTCGAGATGTCTGAAAGAGAGGGAAAAAGATCTCAACTGAGATGACAGTAATTTTCCAAGGTTGTTCTTGATAGCACAAGGACTGCATTTCAGTAGAAAAAGTATCAATTTTAGGCAATTTATATAAATATCTACTATATATAGTTTTCTCAAAGCCAAGCCTGCATTTTTTTTGTTTTTCTTAATTTGCCAGAGGGTGCATGTGCTCTCCAGAGAGAGAGAGAGAGAGAAACAGAAGGAGAGAGGGAGAGGGAGAAAAGCCCCATGACGAGGTGTTGTCACGCTACAAAACCTTCTCTGCCGTTTCCTTATCCAGTTGGATTTGGGGCACACATACATGCCTGGCATTTTTTTTTTTTTTAAGAATTATTTATTTATTTAATTTTATTTATTCACTCATTTATTTTAATTTGATCACACACACACGAGAGAGAGAGAGAGAGAGAGAGAGAGAGAGGGTGCTTTGTATTTCATTTTACACTGAATCCCATAGTAAATGTTGACATTTTCAAACTGTATGAAACATGCCAGATCTCGAGATGTCTGAAAGAGAGGGAAAAAGATCTCAACTGAGATGACAGTAATTTTCCAAGGTTGTTCTTGATAGCACAAGGACTGCATTTCAGTAGAAAAAGTATCAATTTTAGGCAATTTATATAAATATCTACTATATATAGTTTTCTCAAAGCCAAGCCTGCATTTTTTTTGTTTTTCTTAATTTGCCAGAGGGTGCATGTGCTCTCCAGAGAGAGAGAGAGAGAGAAACAGAAGGAGAGAGGGAGAGGGAGAAAAGCCCCATGACGAGGTGTTGTCACGCTACAAAACCTTCTCTGCCGTTTCCTTATCCAGTTGGATTTGGGGCACACATACATGCCTGGCATTTTTTTTTTTTTTTTAAGAATTATTTATTTTTTTAATTTTATTTATTCACTCATTTATTTTAATTTGATCACACACACACGAGAGAGAGAGAGAGAGAGAGAGAGAGAGAGGGAAAGTGAGACAGCAAGCCACCAGGTCCAGAACTCGAACTGTGGTTGGCCACGTGGGAATGTCCAGCACCTTAACCTCCACTCCACCTGCTGGCTCCCCAAAACTGGCATGTTTTTCAAGCCCCTGGGGCCAGGTCATGACCTGTGGTCAGCCATGTGGGATCTGTCCTTAGCCAGGCCATGAGGATGACCTAAGCCTATAGTTTAAGAGGAGAATGAGAGGAAGCAAGGCAGGACCGTGTGCTACAGGCTCTGAAAGGGAGGGAACATCACGCTGCTGTTCCTGCGCGGCCCTTGGACTCCCAGCATCAGAACCAACTGGTCTGGGGGATGTTGTTATAGATTGCCAGGACGGGTGCCCATCTAGTCAGAAATTTCATTTGGGCTCTTGCCATTCTAAGTCGGGAATGGATTTTTATGGTTGAGCATGAAAACAAAAAAAAGCCGCCCTCAGGATAAACGAGAGGTAAATCTGATGCTCAGTAAATTAACACACACTTCATGCACTTCTTCCTGGAAAAAGGATTTCTTTTGGGCTTTCTCTTTTACTGCTGCAGTGTTACCATGGGAACGGAGCCCTCTCCTCCATGGGTAATATGTGTTGTAAAGACTGCAACCTCTAATCTATGGATTTGGTTACACTTCACTTGTAAATTTGCTCCATTGCTCTTTGAATTTTTTTCTTTTCCATTTTATTATTCCTTATGTAGTTAACGAATAAAGGGCAGAGCTGTTCCACCTTAGGGCACAGTTATTGTTTTCTACAGGGTTGTTCGTTTTTGTCATTTAAGATATTTTCTCCTGGATTGTCACAGTTTAAAAAATGTTTAATAACAAAAATACTGCATATTCATCGTACGTATTCATCAGTTTAAAAAATAGATAACATAAAATACCCCTCTTCCTTCACCACCCCGTTCTGTTATTCCACTGCAGAGGTACTGTGGTTAACATTGGGTCGTCAGGAAAGTCCCGTCGCATTTTTGCATAGAAAAGCATAGAAAAATATGTCATGATTTTCCCGACGACCTACTAGTTTAGCAGTGTTCTTCCAAATGTTCTTGGGTAAACATTTAAATCCATGTGTATGTGTAAACACACTCATTTGTTGTCTATCCATTCATGTATTTAGACATATACAATTTTCAAACATGAATGAGATTTTACTATAAATATTGTTCCAAAATTTGTTGTTTTCCTTAACCCTGTATCTTGGGGTCCAACTCAGGGCACACTGATGGATGTACGACGTTCAAGGTACCGTTGCGAATGGGTGTAACGATTTATTGAACCATTTAGATGAGGAGAGGTTATTTAGTATTTTGCTACTACAGAAAGAATCCTGTGATTCTTTCACCTGAGTGAATATTTCTGTGGGACAGATCGCCAAATGTTGAGTTGCCATTGAAAAAGGGTCTCTCCTTTTACATTTGTTGCATAGATTTTTGCTAAATTGTCCCCCAAATTGTCAGTAACCATTTATATCCTAACCTCCCACACATGAATGCCCTTTTTTCTTAACCAGGGTCCTCGGAATTGGGGTATTAACAATACTGTTTGTTTGCTCAATCCCATCGAGGAAAGAACTCACCGATTAGTGTATGTTCCTTGATTACTAGTAAGACGAGTGACTTTTACGTATTCAGTGACTACTGATATGTCTTTTTCTGTGAATTCCCACCTAATAAACTTGGCCATTTTTCTCCAGGTGTGTTTGTCTTTTTCTTATTGATTTGTTGAAGTCTTTATATTTTATGGATACTCACGTTTGGCTATACATGACACATATATGCTCTTTGATTCTGTAGCTTGTTTTTGACTTCTGTTTGGTATCTTTGGCCATATGGAATTAAAAACAATTTTATATAGTCAAATCTGTCAGTTTTTATTGTTATAATGATTTTTATTTTTTAATTTTTTTGCTAGATGTACTTGGGTACATGTACTTGCCAGAGAGAGAGAGAGAAAGTGAGAAAGCACTCCCCATAAAGCAAGATCGAGCTGCAATCCCTTCTCCTCTATTCCTCCTTACTTTCGGGATTTTGGATATGCAGCCATATGCACCTGGTATGTTTCTCAAGCTGCAGGGTCTGGGACTCAAATTAAGGGGTAAGTCATGTGGGATCTGGCTGCTTTAACCACCAGACCACAGAGCTGTACTCTTACTTATATTCTTAAGTAAGAATAAAAACTTTCCTCACCCCCAAATTACGAAAATACAAACCTATATTTTCTTTTTGGAATTTTATATGAGAGGGCTTCAAAAAGTTCATGGAAGAATGGAATTTGAGTACAAGTTTCTTCTGGTGCAAAAACAGTAGAAATCCAAGCAAAGATTTTTGTAATATGCGTTTTCCATGAAATTTTTGAGGACTGCCCCTCCTGGACTTCTTTTGAAAACATGTCTTAATCGATCTAAGATTTAATTTGGCATGGAGAATGAAATTCACAACTATTGTTTTCAATGCTAATTTATTGAATACCAAATTCTCTGCCCACGGCTATAAAATCCTAATTAAAATTTTCCCTTACATTAGATGACTCTCTACTACTGAATTTTTTTTCTAGCTGTACTTTTTTTTTTTTTTTTAGAGAGAGATTGTGCTATATAGAGAGAGACAAAGAGACAGAAAGCGAGAAATCACCCCCCAGGGGGGTATGGCCATACAGTATCTTCTCCATTTTCCTCTCAGGATCTTGGGCACAAGTTTTAAAACTCACGGCATGAGTTTTAAGTTGCTGGTTCTGGGACTCAAACTGAAGTTGACTAGGTGGGATTCCAGTGACATAACCATTATGCCATCTACCGGTCCCAGCTGTACTTTTTTGTTTTTTTTTTTTTAAAGATTTTTGCTACAGGGTGCATGAGCTCGCCTGAGAGACAGAGGGAGACAGAGAGACAGAAAGCAAGAAGTCACCTCTCTCACACACACACACTGAGTGGGTGTGTGGGGGGGAGATGGCCATGCTGCAATCCCTTCTCTTCCAATCTCCTCTTGGGATTTTGGGTACGCAACTGGCATGAGTATAAAGCTGCCAGGCCTGGGACGGGAACAGTAATTGACTACGGGGGAGTCCAACAACATAACCATCTCCTTCAGCGGGTCCCCCAGCTGTACTCTTTTTAATCTAACATTCTGACATCTGGAAGGGGGAATTCTACCTCAATGTTTTACATAATTTTTGGGGGAGGTTATAATTTGGAATGGTGTGTCTTTCTGATGAAGTTTAGAATCAGTCTGTGACCTTCAAGTAAAAAGAATCCTATTGAATTTTCTTACTGGGATTGCATCGAATTTATAAAATATTTTGGAAAAAATATCTTTGCATCTGGTAACATGGCACATTTATAATTATTCAGTTGTACTTCACTTCCTGTATTAAACTTTATATTTTATGTTATTTAAGTCTTGAACATTTCTTACTAAGTTTATTTTTAGATTTTTGCAATTTTTCCATAGGATGGGTTCTATCAGGTCCTAGATGTTTTGCATTTAAAAAAATACTATTAAGCATGAAATATTCAGCATTATGTATTTAATTGGCATATTGTTTGTGTAAAGGAAAACAATTTATTTGGTCCTAAAAGTTTTTCAGTTGAGTGTCTTAGAGTATTGCATTGAGAATCATGTCAACTGTGGATAACAGTAGTTTTTGCCTCCTTTTCCTATAATTATACTATTTATTCTTTCCTTTGACTTATTGGTTATTTTCTGCAGCCCAATACTAATGGGAGCAGTGAGAGAGGGTATCTTTGTCACACTTTAATGTGAGCCCTTTTAATTTTTGTTTTTTTAATGAGAGAGAGGTATTTAAGCTTAAAATTTTAAAAATTTATTTATTTATATTTTTTGAGAGTTTTTTGCTATAGGGTGTGTGCGCTTGCCAGAAAGACAGAGAGAGACAGAGAGACAGCAAGTGAGAAATCATCCCCCAGTGGGGATGGCCACACTGCAATCCCTTCTCCTCCATTCTCCTCTCGGGATCTTGAGCATGCACGCACATGCGCCCGGCGTGAGTTTAAGCCACTGGGTCCGGGACTCAAGTTGTGGTCAACTACATGGGAGTCCAGCGACATAGCCATTACACCAACTGCTGGCCCAAAAATTTATTTATTTCATAACAAAAACAGGCAAAGAGGGGCCAGCAGGTGGCGTGGTGGTTCAGGCTCTGGACATTCCCACATGGCTGACCATGGTTCGAGTCCTGGACCTGGTGGCTTGCTTTCTTAATTTACCTCTCTCTCTGTGTCTCTCTCTGGTCAAATTAAAATGGACGAATAAATAAATAAAATAAACCTTTAAAAAAAAAACAGACAAAGAGACAGCATCCCCAGTAGGGTCTTGCTGCAATCCATCCCCAGCCTCAGCCGCCTAGATCACGGGCATAAACCTTATCAGAGGAAGCCTGCAATCCATAGGTATGCTATTTGGTGGTGTCCTGGATTTGGAATTGAAGGCAAAATGCTTTGACTTCTCCAGATATAGATAAGAGATAGATTCAAAATCGTTTACAAATTAATTAATTAATTAATTAACCCATTTATTTGTTGTGGTTTTTTTCAAGCTGTGAGGCCTGGGACTTGAATTATGATCTGCCATGTGGGAATCCAGTGCTTTAACTACCACACAACCTGTTGGTCCCATTCTAAAGTTTATTAAGGGTGGACAAAAGATGGAAATATCTTGACCTTTTAAGAAAGGCCTGAGAAAAAGCGAATGGTTAGAATGAGAGTTAAAATTACACGTCAGGCACAGCCTCGGTGGCACAGGTGGCAGTGTGTGGAACTGCAGTGCTGGAAGCCATGTGGCTGACCACTGGTTCAGGTTCCTGGTTGACGCGAAACACACTGGTCCTATGTATGGGTGCCCAAGATCCTAAAGAGCTTAATGGCTGTAGGGAGGGAATGGTGGTGTGACAAAACCCTGGTGGCGGCATTTTTCTCTCTCTTGTGCATACACATGCTATCGCAAATAAGATAAATAAACTTAAAAAAATTACATTTCAAAGAAATATCATATGCTTGTAGATTTGAGGCAATAATTCCAAGTCACCAAATAAAAGTTAAGCAAGGTCTAAAATACTCTGCTAAATTAGGCAGGGAAATGTATACAGTATACCTCAAAGAACAACTGGAATGTTCAAGCATATGGGCTAAAATGTCAATGAAAATCTTGGCAAGGGGCAGGAGGTGGTACAGTGGCAAAACAGGATGCTCTGCTGACCCAGATGGGAAGGTTCCCAGTTCAAGTCGGGAGCCCTCCTGACTATATCAGGCACACACACGCCCATGCGTAGGGGCTGGCTGAGGCTGGGTTGGATCGTGGCATCAAGACCTTGTCGTGGGTTCTCACTCTCTCTCTTATAAAAGAAATAATACATTTAAAAAGAAAAAAAATCTTGTTAAGGCTTCTAATGCCTCTCTGATTCCAGATAAAAGAAGTTTTATTATAAAAACTATAGGTTGAGAGAGTAAATAAAGGAATAAAAAGTATTGGGTTGTTGGAAAAGTCATGTGTTTCTTCCGTTTTTCAAAGGTCGTTTATGTATATAAAGAACAAAGATCAATCAATGATGTATCATCGGTTTTGTTCAATAACCTTTTGCCATCTTTCAGTGAGCTTCATAATTCTTTGTTCATAAAAGGACCTTTTTTTATTGGTTAAAAAAAATGAACGGAGTGCTGATTTACAGCCTCTTCTGAACTGAACGTTATGTGCAAAGAGTTCGAAGAGAACGAAACAAGTGGACGTCTGACGGCGCGAGGTCAGGCGAGTGTGGTGGGTGTGGGAACACAGTCCAGTCAGCGCCAGTGATATTTGACAGGGGAGCAGACTTGCGTGTGGTCTCACGCTGTCATGATGTAACACAACTCCTTTACGATCAACGAGTTCTGGGCCTTACCGGATTATAGATTTGTTCAAAACTGTCCAATTGCCCACAGTACACATTTGAATCAATAGTTTGGGTCCTTGGTAGGAGCTCGGAAAACATGACACTTCTGAAACCCCACCACGTTGAGAGCATAAGCTTCCTCTGACGAATGTCTGCTTTTGATGTCATTTGAGTGAATCACCATGCCAGAACCAAGACGGCGTGTCCACCACATTGCTGTAAACAATCCGCTTCTCCTCACCAGTCGTCAGTCACTTCGAAAGAGGATCTTTTCTTCACGCTTAATAAGCATATCGCCGATGTTCACATGCATGGCAGATGAACTTCTTTGAGTTCCCGAGGAACGCAAACATGGAGCTTGCTTATGTATCCCAGCTTCCTCGGCGGTCGTGAGCGCTTGCTTGCATGACGATGCTCAATGTTTCTGCCATCTCTCGTGCTGTGTGCTATGGATTTGACTCGATCAGTGCCTTTCTTTTGTCATTATCAACCATTGGCACTGATGTTCTCATAGAGCATTGTCTCTGTAAATTTCATGCAACTTTTCATAAGCTTGACGTGCATTCTTCTCTTTACAGAAGTAAAACAGTGAAGTATGGCGAAAATGCAGTTTGGTCTTCCATCTTCAACTTGTAAAATCTCCCAAACTCAATCAAATCGCCTAATTTTTTTATTTTAGAATGAAGCTAGAACTGTCAGCTGTCAAATGATATAGCAATACCATAGATGTGAATGACTCTAGTACTTCCACAAGCGAACTACCGCCACCTGTTGCAAAAACACGTCACAACTTTCCTGACAACCCAGTACTTACATACAGTAACAATAATCTCCGGAAAAGTCTGTCTACCATAATTTTAAAAACAACTTTAAAATAGCTTAAATTCTTTTACTTTTGAGAGAGCTATGGAAAAACTCAAAATAATTTCAGTATTTTGGTCCCATGGGATCCACATCTGTACAGATGTTGTCCCGTGGGGTCCCACAGCACCAGAGAGTGTATGTGGATTGCCCATCTGGGCATTTTTTCAGTTCACATTCATGAACTGCTTTATTGCTAAAGTGTTTTTTGTATTTTTCATATTCGTGTTTCTTTTCTTTCTGACCTTAGTCTTTCCTTTGGGTACATAGTAAATTCCAGAAGCCCGTAAAAGAAAATAGCGCCTTTTCCAGGATTTCTTTCCATCTTCTTTTAAGTAAAGAGCTCCTTCAAGTTCTGGTACAATAATAGATGTCCCACAGAAACTTTCCTGAAAGATAAAACATACATTATTGTTCACATTTAAATAAACTTGCAAATTGGCCTGTGGACTAATGGTTGATTTTATTTACAATTCTGATTGAATGCATATGTTTATCTTTGCCATCTGCCAAAAGGGAGGAAGAATAACACAGTGGTTGAGAGTGTGAGAGTGGAGGCTTCTAGATTACCTAGCTCTGTGACTGTGGGCCAATTCAACCTCAGTCTCCTACTTATAAAAACAGCATGATGATAGCCCAACTTCATAAGAGAGGTTGTGAGTGCAATCTTGTATGTTACAAGAGCGAGCACTTAAGAAAGGCTAGCCTTGTTACTACAAATTGGAGCAGAGAGTAATTATTACTTTCCTGGTAAGTGAAAAAAAAATACTATTTCATTGCTGGTAAACAGAAAAAATGTAATATAGAATGTTTTGCATAAAATATATTAATATTTTATTCTCAGGATGGCCCTGTTTTCAAAGAATGAAGAAGGCAATATAAGGAAAAAAAAGAACATTTTCCAGGTATAGATTTTCACACTTTAAATTTGCAGGGACCAGCAGTTAGCGTAATGGCTATGTCACTGAACTCCCATGTAGTCGACTGCGGTTCATGTCCCGGACCCGGTGGCTTAAAACTCACGCCGGGCGCGTGTGCATGTGTGCCCAAGATCCCGAGAGAATGGAGGAGAAGGGATTGCGTCATGGCCATCCCCCCTGGGTGGTGATTTCTCACTTTCTGTCTCTCTGTCTCTGTCTGTCTGGCGAGCACACGTGCCCTATAGCAAAAACCTCTCAAAAAATTGCATAGAATTATGTAATTCATAATAAATTTATTTTATAAAGTGGTAGAATAAAATTAAATATGATTCTACTTTTTTTCAGTTCAAATACTCAAACTTATATTTTGCTTTCTTTTTGTAACTCTCAACAGCTTTTCTTTAGTCCTATAAATGCAAAATAACTTAGTTTTGCATCATCCAGCTAAACTGATATGCAGCAGAGCTGGAAAACCTTTTGGGCAACATTTCTCCCAATTTTTCCCTGATATAGCCTGTATTAATTCTCCTGTCAATAATCTCTTCAATTCTATCAGATTTTGGCCCAAACAAGATTGCAGATTTTTCATAGCATAGCATGCTTCATATCTGCTTTCATACCCAGCTGTAAAACACTGTAAGTCCTAGGACAAGGACCATCCAGACAACCACATAAATAAATGCATTACCATTCCCAGTTTACAGACAACCGATTTCTAAGCAATATTATTTTTAAATAATTATTTAATTTAATTTATTATTATTATTTTTTAAGATGATGAGAGAGAGAGAGAGAGAGAGAAAGAGAGAGAGAGAGAGAAAGAGAGAAAGAGAGAGAAAGTGAGAAAACAAGCTGCCAGGTCCGGGACTTGAAATAGAGTCACTCATGTAACAGTCCAGTGCCTCAACCACTGTGCTACCTGTCAGTCCCCACTTTCTGAGCATTATTGGAACACACGGCTGCCTTGGCAAAATATTCATTCCCCTTCCATGTCTTTCAGCCTTCATCTCCAATAGGCATGCTCAGTATCCTGTCTTTCTTTGCTGCTAGGGAGATGAGTGCCTTACCTGCCCCAGCCCAACCTAGAGTCTTGTTTGGTAAGTGCAGAAATAACATTTCCATTCCCGCTCTGGGGCCTCTCTGAGAAATGCCCACTACGCTCACGGTCCCGGGAACCAGAAACTGTACCAGGTGCTCAGGGCCCTGGAGTGGCAGCAAGGTCCTGGTTCATCCTGGTTCCTGCTCACTTGGTGAGGCTGCTGCAGCCCGGTAGGGCTAGAAATGTGAGGACCTTGGCCAACGCAGGAGGGTGCTCTTCAGCGTCAGCAAATTGGCTCCAGGTAAGAATGCGTGTCTAAGCATCAACAAATCTTGTGATTTTGCTAGAGAAGTTCAAAATCTACTAACTCAAGGAAAGGACAACACGCTATCGGGAGAAGGAAAACCTGGTTGGAGTTTTAACATGTCCCTCTGCAACCTGTGAGCTGGCATTCACGTCTGCTCACTTTCTGGGAACAAAGCCTCCAATTCGAATTTTGTTTATTTATTTGCTAGAGGGCATGTGTACTTGCTAAAGAGAGAGAGAGAAAATTGGAGAGAAAGTGGAAGCAGCCCCACATTGGGATGGTCACACCACAATCCCTTCTTCGTCTTAAACCCTTATGTCTATCTTTTGTGGAGCACTTTTGTAAAGAAACATGGGATGTTAGGAGATGAGTTTTATGAAGATTCTTAAGTTTATTCATTCCTTCACTCATTTATTTATTTATTTATTTATTTTAGACAGGGTCTTGTTATGTTGGGATCCTCTTGCCTCAGCCTCCTAAGCAGCTGGGACTACAAGCCCAGGCACTGTGCTATAATTTAGTAATAATTTGATTTTAAAACCCCAAGTTAACATTTCACTGTGTGTTTCAGAACTTCTCACTGTTCTTAGAAGCAAATAATTTAAGAACAGATAGGCGAGCATTCTTCTCTTTCCTTCCACTGCAAAATCAAGCTTACCTCAAGTAAGGATTCTTTGTTCTTAGCATTCATTTTCTCAGTGGTTTCCTTGCCTTCTCGTTTTCCTTTGTTATCTAAGTAGAAATTCTGAAGAAGATGGAAAAAAATCAGGTCAGTAACCGTTCACTGCCGTGCTAGTAACCGCACAGGACCTCTGAGTTTGCTGGAGGAGGTGGACCAGTGTGAAATAAACAAGGGGCCTGGCACAGTGTCAGTGACCATCCAGACCTTCCCGAGTGTAGACGACTGCATCACTGCGGCAGAAGCAAATTCCCCTCCATTCCAAAGGGCACAGTCGGTGAGGAAACACAAGCTAGAAATCATTAGCAAAAGAGACAAGGTTTAATAAAGTCCATGTCCTCATTACCCCTGTGCCACCACCTAGCCCCTAATTTCTAGCTTTCTGTCTAGCGCACTTGGTTCTCAAACTTCAGTGTGCATGAAACTCACAGGAAGCATACTGGAATGCAGATTCTCATTCCAGAGATGCCAGTTCAGCAGTAGGTTGGGAGCTCAGGAACATGGTTTTATTGAGCCTTAAGACGGTGTGGAGAAGGACCAGCAGATGGCATATGGGTTACATCCCTGGACTTCCATGTAGTTGACTGCAACTTGAGTCATGAACCCGTGAGTGTGGGCATGCATGCGTATGAGTGTGCATGTCTGTGTGCGTGCCAAAAATCCCAAGAGGAGAGTGGAGGAGACGGGATTGCAGCATGGCTAGGCCTCTGGGGGTGATTTCTCACTTTCTGTCTCTCTGTCTTTCTCTGTGTCTCCAGAGAGCACACACATCGCATCCTGTAGCAAAATTCTCTTAAAAAAAAAAAAACGATAACAGAAGCAAAGCCCTTAGTCTAGCACATGGTAGATAGTAAGAAATAAATGTAATCTTTTATTGTTTCTACCAATGTTCCTCTGGATCATCAGTTTATTATTTCATTTGATAAAAAGTGGCTTTTGTTACAAACTCTGATAAAAATAAGTTCTTAGGTCTGACTCCTTAAGAACTGAGGTGTTAGGGGACTGGCAGGTGGCGTGGTGGTTAAGATGCTCGACTCCCACATGCCAGTCCCGGAACTGGCAGCTTGTTTTCTCATTTTTCCTTTCTCTCTCTGTTGTTAACTAAAATAAAATGAAAATGATTCTTCTTCTTTTAAGAGGTTTTTTGCCTTAGGGTGTGTGCACTTGTTGGAGAGAAAGAGACAGAGATAATGAGAAGGAAAGTGAAAAATCACACCTCAGGGGGATTGGCCATGTCACAATCCCTTCTCCTCCATTCTTTTCCCAGGATTTCAGGCATGCACACACATGTGCCTGGCATGATTTTCAAGTCACTGGGTCCAGGACTAGAACCATGGTTGGCCATGTAGGAGTCCAGTGATGTCACTGCTATGCCATCTGCTGATTCAAATTAAAATAATTCTTAAAAAAAAATAAGAGGGGCCGGCATGCGACGTGGTAGTTAAGGGCGCTGGACTCCCACATGGCTGACCATGGTTTGAGTCCTGGACCTGGCGACTTGCTTTCTTGCTTTCCCTCTGTCTCTCTCACTCTGTCCCTCTTTGGTCAAATTAAAAAAAAAAAAAAAGTTAAATGAAATAATTCTTTACAAAAAAAAGGAATTGAAGTGTTAACGTGCTGGGTGCACATCTAAGTGCATGGCTATACCCTCTTGAGGGTCTCTCTCTCTAACATAGACGTACACTTCCTATCATTAAAAAAAGAAAAATAAGAATTGAGATATCAGTTCCTATCAGTATTCTTATCTCCAGAAGTTTCACTTTGCAATCACAGAAGAAAGACCCTTAATATAGGGCAAGTTTTGGCATCCAGCTGGCTGCCATACTCTGTAAATTCTCCCCCTTACTGGTCTCCCGGAGCCCTCTAGTCCATCCTCATCTCCTCTTTCCTCTTTCTGGCTTTTGTAGCCACCTCCCCACTGCATGGCAGTTTTCTGTCTTATCCATTCTCTACTGTGTGGCCGCAGTGACCTTCCCCAACCCAGGTGGCTTTAATGGCTCCTGCCAGCCTCAGAATAAAGTCCAGTCTCTTTCCTACGGTCTCTACACCCTGGATCACCTTGTTCCTGAGCCTCTCCAGTCTAAATGAAGTCTCATAAAGGGCATATGATTGGGTTAAATACAATCTGATTAGAAATAAAGCAGAAACAACAAATTGGCTAAAATTTTTCCTTGCCACTTATTTTTTAGGTCATTCAGATGTACTGCAGACAGTTTTTATTTGTCTTTAAGCCTTTGGGGCCATTTGTGAGAACTTTTTCTTTCTTTTTTATCTCTATTTCATTCTTAGCCCATTTTGCTTGTTTGACAGACAGCCCTAAAGTGTAGGATTTATGTTAAAGGACTGGAGAGTGAGGTGTGTGTATACCAACAGCCTGATGCCACTGGCCTTCACACTGCTGCTTCCAGGAAGAGATTCCTGTTCTAGAGACCGGGAACCAGGGGTCAAGCACCAGCAGCTTTTGCAGGCATGGAGATGGAAGGAATAAACACAGTGCTCAGTAGGCTGGATGTATGATGAACAATACCCTTCATTATGAACATGGCTTCCGAATCTCCCTCATATCCTCACGTTCTGCAGAGAGTATTTCTCTCATGATGTCTACTTCTGTAAACCAGTTTTCCCTGCAAGAATGAAGCCCAAACCTCAGCCTGTCCACTCACACAGTGTAGGGCATGCTCTAGGCAGCAGAGTAAATCACGACAGCCTCGTTGGAGCACACCACTGTGAGATACGCAAATGCAGATGAAGATGGAAGAAACCTAGACTGCAGATCCAAAGGCAAAGCAGGCATTAGAGCTGCAACTGGGTTTTTGAAAACAATAAAATGTTGGAAATAGACTAAACTGCCTGAAAATACCTTTTAAACTAATTTCATACCGTTTTGACTTCATGAAGGGGTGACTGGAAACATTTTTTTAGACCTGTGATTATTTGAACAATATGCTAGCTTGACCTTGTTTTTATTTTTTATTTTTTTATTTTTTTGGAAGAGATTTTGCTGTAGGGCACGTGTGCTCGCCAGAAAGACATAGAGAGACACGTGCCTGGCATGAGTGTAAGCCAATGGGTCTGGGACTCGAACTGCTGTAGACTACATGGGAGTCCAGAGACATAGCCATTATGCCAACTGTTGGTCCTTTGACCATTTTTTTCTTTGTCACCAAATTGGGTACACCACATACTGTGCCACAAAGGCTGGGTCAATGTTCTGTATCTTTTTTTTTTTTTTGAGAGAGATGTTTGAGATAGGGCACATGCACTCACCGGAGAGACAGGAGAGACAGAAATCACCCCCTACAGCAGATGGCATGCCTCTAGTCTCCTCTTGGGATTTTGGGCACACATGCACACGCACCCGTATGAGTTTTAAATCAGTGGGTCTGGGACTAGAACCACTGTCAACTATGTGGGAATCCAGTGATGTAATCCTTATGCCATCTGCTGGTCCCTGATGTTCTGTATCTTGATGTGGGTGGTATTACAGGGGCATGCTTACTTTACAAAAATTTATAACATATATAAAAATTATAACATATATCATACAGTTAGGGTAATGCACTAATTCATTACATACCACAACAAACTACAGATGCCTACTAATACCCATTCTCCTCTCCTTAGTTATACCATTGCATAGCTAAGTTGTTCAGCTCCTGGGCATTATTACTACTGTTATTATTATATAGTTTGCTGTAAGGCTCATGTGCTCTCTGTAGAGAGATGTGGGGGGAGAGAAAGGGAGGGAAAGTGAGAAAGTACTCTTCGGGGGAGATGGCCATGCCATAGTCCCTTCTCCTTCACTCTTCTATGAGGATTTTGGGCATACATGCACACATGCCTAGTGTATTTTTCAAGCCTTCCAAGTGTATAGTTGGCCATGTGGGGTCTAGCTGCCTTAACTTCCATACCATCTGCTGGCCCCATGGATGTTATTTTTATAGATTATGCAAAAGGTGCCTCTTGGAAAAGTTGTCCAAAGTGGTGATGTTGCATGTAACTCCTCAATTTTAGCTGTGCATGTGGTTATTCAGATAGACATGGCATCTCTTAGCGTCTCTTATAGCTCCATGTCACCATGTAACTAGCTTCCACGAAGGCGTTGTAAGCAGAAGTCCTGTTGTGCGTTCCCCTGGCTTCCTTCTTTTCCCATGGATGGCAAAATGGCCAGGTGGGAACACTGTCTTGGACCCAGAGATGGAAGACATATGTTGAGGATAGCAAAGCCATTCTACTGGGTTTACCCGCCTATGTCTGGACCATTATGTGTGGGAAAGATGATTCTCTAGCTTGATGGTGTCACTGACTGAGGGATTCTCTTTGTTATAGCAGTTTAGATAGTACCTTCACTAACACAGGCATTAAGCATGGTACTGAAGGGACTTATGGCTAAAAGCTTTGCACTTTGGGACCAGCGGTGGTGTGGTGGTTAAGGTTCTGGACTCCCACATGGCTGACCATGGTTCAAGTCTTGGACTCTGTGGCTTGAAAATCATGATGGGGGCATGTGTGCCCAAAATTTTGAGAGCAGAATGGAGGAGAAGGTCTTGTGGCATGGCCATCCCTCCAGGGGAGGGGGTGTGATTTCTCACTTTCTTTCTCTCTATCTCTATCTCTCTCCAGTGAGCATATGCACTCTATGGCAAAAATGTAAAACAAAACAAAAACAAAAACAAAAACCCCAAAAACCCCAAATGAAAGGCAAAACCTTTTTCACTTTTAGTGTTTGATATTTAGCATGAACCATAATATTTAATAACTTTATCATCAATAGGCCACCACACAATCTAAGGAAGATCCCAGAAAATGTCACAGTACAAGGGAAAAAGCACTTTCCCATGAGGAAGCTGCTGTGGAGTTCCCTAATTTTGCCTTTGGTGATATGGGACTTATTATTATTTTTATTTATCTCTCAAATGAAGGGGTGTCAGGTTGACTCTGAGGACCTTTCCCATCTTTAACATTCTTAGACTTTCATAAAACAACTTGGGTCAGAGTAGGAAAAGGCCAAGGCTTCTCAGTGACATCCTTGTACACTGGACTCGAAGAAAGCATTTTCCAATATCAAGGAGAATGCTTTTCATGTGTGTAGATTATTTGCAGGAGGAAATCTCAATAACGATATGTTTTCTCAGTGTTCCCTTCAGTTATCCCAACATCGAGAAGCAACAACTCTGAACAAGAAAAGAGCATCTTTCAAACAGGAAGCATAAATAACCAGCTGTGCATCAGCAATTTTGGATTAATAGAGCTCAACCGAAATGGGGACAGGAGAGAGGAGGACTAGGCAACACAGACGGGTATGTTTCGGATTCTGAATGAAAAGGAACAGGACGGGGCCACTAGGTGGCACCGTGGTTATGGTGCTGGACTCCTACATGTTGACCATGGTTAGAGTTCCAGACCTGGTGGCTTGAAACCTGGAGTGTGCGCATGCATTCCCAAAGTCTTAGGAAGAGAATGGAGGAGAAGGGGTTGTGGCGTGGCCAATCATCCCCCAATCTGGGGGGTGATGTCTCACTTTCTCTTTCTGTGTCTCTCCCTCAAGTGAACATGCCCTATGGCAAAAAAAAAAAAAAATTTTTTTCTACCTGAATCTTTCAAAGGGCTCTCAGTTTATAGATGGTCTAAGTGTGGAGTTTGCATTTATTTAGAAGGAATACATTTGTGGTATTTTGGGTTAATAATGGTGTAGTTGGTAGCCAAGTGACGTTAAACAATATCCTCCATGCTTTACGTGGTTGAGCAATGTGTAGGTCATCTTACCTGGGGGTTTTTAAACACTGCATATTTTTCTTCTTTCTCCAAAAATAGTACTTTATTCTCTGTGTCTCTTGTCCAGTCTGATAATATTTCAACAACATTTTCATGGTCTTCAAAAAATCTCTCTAATGAAATAAGAAAAGGTATTCTTTAACACCCAAAACATCAGTTTTTCTGAGAAATCAGCTATTATTGAATTAAGCACAATGTTCCATAATTTTCATCAAGGTTTCCAATACTCTTAATTCTTACACATCATACTGTAACATCTCTGTTATGTTTCTTTTTCAGTTTCACACCTTCAATTTCTTTTCCACAAAATACATGGTGGAAGGCCCAATCAGCCACAGTAGTACCTGCTGCTACTTGGTAGGCTGAGGCCATATTGGATCCCTGGTTTGATTTCTCGCTCACCCTAGAAGCTGGGCATGGTGGTGCATGCTCATAGTTCTAGCTACTTGGGAAGCTGAGGCAGGAGGATCATGGCAAGGTGAAACCTGTCTAAAAAGGAAAAAAAAAAAAGCAAAATCCAAACAACAACAAAAAATCCACCAGTCATAGTGGCCCAGATGGCAGGGCACTGCTGCGTGGTACTGGAGCCACACGGAAGGCCCAGGTTCAGGTCATAGGTCAACATGAGCACTATGGCTGTACCCATGTGTGCCCAGGATCCTGGCTGGCTGCAAGACTGGGAAAGGATCGTAGCAATGGCAAGATTCTTTCAAGGGTTTCTGTCTGTCTGTCTGCCTCTGTCTCTGTTTCACTCTCATGAAATAAATACACAAAAATAAAAACTTAAAAATGAAAACAAACAAACAAGCATGGTAGAAGAACCTGTAATACAGTGCTAATGGTCAGCGAATGCACATTTTTCATATTGGCATTTTTTATTAAAAAACCTAAAATCAGGCAATAGTTGCTTAAACACTTTGAATGAAATGCTAAGTTCCACACTGTGTGCTCTAAAACATTACTTTGTAAAACTCTAAAAACAATGCATAAATGCCAGAACTAGACTTAAATGTAAAGGAAAGTTTTCATTTCTCTGCTTAACTGATGGGGTTGAAGAAAATGTCAAGGGGTTGTTTTAGTATAGATGATTTCCCTCAGCCAAAAAAACACAAAAAAACCAAAAAAAACATATGGCATCCAAAGCTTCTTCAACAGGCAACGCTGTACTCCACTCTGCTCTCCTGGGAGACCACTTCCTGTGAGTGCTATTAAGAACAAGCACCAGCAGAGGATTTCTTTAATTGCTTCTTGTTTTTCCATTAGTTTCCACCAACCATCCTTCGCTCTCTGAGGCTGAGCCTCTTCCTCTAGACAGTGTCAGAGATTCAGCAAGAGAACGGAGAGGAAGGGGATCCCGCACTGATGGGAGGCCTTGGGCAGAGTCAGACTCTAGTTTAAGAAAACAGCCTCTGAAGAGACACTGGCTGGCGGGCACCCCCGCTCCTCCCCACCCCCCCCACCCCAAGCATGTGGTATCTCACCAGGTATCCTGCCACTGTCTTTCCTGGTGGACCACTGGAGAGCAGGTGGCATGGTGGTTAGGCAGCTGGACTCCCACATAGCTGGATGTGGTTTGAGTCCCCGACCTGGAGGCTTAAAACTCATGTTGGGTTGAGGCCAGCAAATGGCATAGTGATTAAGGAACTGGACTCCCACATGGTTGATTGTGGTTTGAGTCCTGGACCCAGTGACTTGAAACTCATACTGGGCATATGTGTGTGTGGAGGAGGATAGTGGTGTGACCATCCCCCTGGGGGAGAGGGTGATTTCTTGCTTTCTGTCTCTCTGTCTCTCTCTGGTAAGCACATTGTGCCCTATGGCAAAAATCTCTTAAAAAGTTAAAAAAAAAAAAGAAAAGAAAAGAAATTAAAAAAAAAAAAAAAAAGAAAATCATGGTGAGCATGTGTGTGTGCATGCCCAAGATCCCAAGAGAAGAATGGAGGAGAAGGAATTGAGGGATGGCCATGCCCCCAGGGGGATGATATCTCACTTTCCCTCTTACTATCTCTCTCTTCTCTGGAGAGTGCAAGCACCCAATTGAAAAAAAAAAAAACAACCTAAAAACAAAACACAAAACAAAACAAAAAATACAGATTATCTCCTAAGCCTGGCCCCCTGCTCCAACGAAGAGGTCTCTCTGCCACAATGAAACGAAAAGGCAAGCATGACCCTCTGCCGTAAGGGAAGTACTGTATGGGCCATCCTGAGAGGACTGAACTGCAGGACAGGAGGAGCAGGACCAAGCCCGTGAGGAACAAACCCACAAGACTTCTGGAGCACAGCCCACGGCTGGGACGGGACTTACCAATCTGTAGCTCTGGGTATATTTCATAAAGACACCAGTCTACGTTGCAGTCACAGTGCGTTTTCTCAAACAGGTTGTCCAGCACATCTCGGGCCAGCTGCCGCTCGTCCACCATCAGTGACTTCGTGCTGTTGTCGTTCATGTGCACCTTGACGACGAGCTGAGGACAGAGCAACGAGGCAGTCAGTGTCAGCAGCTGGAGAAGGTCACAAAGCCTAAGATTTCGCAGTTGCTGTTATTTCTGCAGCTGTAAGTAAGACTGTGTGCTGTGGCAGAGAAACCAATTCATGAAAACAGAGAACAAACAGACAAAGCCCTTGCCCAGCTGCCAGAGACTTTGCAGCCTGATGAGGGAGACAGTAAACTAACAAATCGAACTGAAGAACTGCTGCCTTCTTGTGTCCCCAACTTTTCTTTTTGTAGTTGTTGTTAGTCTTGCTATGGGGTGCCTATGCCTGCCTGAGAGACAGAGAGAAAGAGAGAGAGGAGAAGTGAGAGGGCACCTCCCAGGGAGAATGACCACACCCCCATTCCTTCTCCTCCATCTTTCCAGTTGGGATTTTGGGCACTCACACACTTGGGCCTGGTGTGTTCTTCAAGCTGCTAGGTCTGGGACCTGGCAGACCTATAGCTAGTCATGTGGGACCTGGCTGCCTTTACCATACCACCGGCGGGCCCTCCCCAACATCCTTCCATTGCTTGTCCCAGTTCCATCAGGGAGTATTTCCAGTAGTACTTTTTGTTTGAAAGCCATGTTTGTATCTTTTTTATTTATTTTTTTTTAAACAAGATATCTTTTATTTGAATACTGAATATATTCTGTTAGGACAAAGTGTTCTGAGAATAGAATTTTCTAAAGAAAAAAAAAATCAATGGCACCAACACAATTAAAATGGAAAAAATACAATTTCTAACATAACAAAAAATGATAGGCAGATACATTATCATTCTGTGAAATCCATTTAAGGAATTCCTTTATCTGATAAGCTGTCATTTAATTTAAACCTACTTGAGACATGAATATTCGCAATCATCAAAAAATAGCACATATAAAAATAGATACAGTAAACAAAAGAATATGTTGCTATTCATTAAACACCTTTAATGAAAGCAGTGCTTGATAATTAGAAAAAAGTTTTCATTGGGAAAAAACACTCAAACTAGTGTTCATACTAGAGGCGACAGTGTTATTACTTTTGTTTCTAACATAAGGTACAACATTCCATGTTGAAGTTTATCTTTTAAATACAAAGAGTACTCTCTCCTCATTACGGTAAGATGGCATTAATTTAGTTTCCATTCCTCCGGGTGCTCAGAGCAGCAGTAAGACGAGTCTCAGGATCATCATGAGGCTTAAACCTGCAACCAGCCCAGCGGGCGTTATTTTTTTGGACCTCTTAAATCTCACACCCATTATGGTGGCCAGGAAGAAAGCTGCAAACAGTGACAGTTTTACATCTCGCTTGTCATTGGAGACACGGTAAGCTCCATAACCAGCCAAAAATCCAATGAAAAGACCACCTATCAAAGATGGAACACCACCTCTCCGCTTATATCCTAGAATGCTTCCAAATGTCAAGAGGGCCACATAACCAAAAACCAATCAGGTCCATTGGCAAGGCTGCAATTCGTGAGAGAGATGACAGAGATGAGCTGAAGACAAGCGTTGTACCTGGACTCCGGACCCATGTTTGTATCTTTATAGAAATGTTTTCTTTTTTGCTTAGCGAGCATTGGGTCCTATTTCATGTAACCCAAGAGTCTGAAGACACCGGGTAAAACTGAGTTGATGAATCTGTAATTCCTGGAAGGTCCACACTGTGCAAATGACACAGTGCGACTGAGGGCTTTACTGAGAGGCAGGCGCAGTTACAAAGAAGCATGTCCTTGATCAGAGGTAGATTAAGTGAAATGAATGTAGCCTGAGAACTTAGCTGTCCTGGGTACCAGCAGATGGTGTATATTGCTGGACTCCCATGTAGCTGACCGCGGTTTGAGTCCTGGACCCGGTGGCTTAAACTCATGCCGGGTGTGTATGTGTGCGTGCCCAAGATCCCGAGAAGAGAATGGAAGAGAAGGGATTATGGTGTGGCTATCCCCTCTGGGGGGTGATTTCTCGCTTTCTGTTTCTCTGTCTCTCTCTGTCTTTCTGGCGAGTGCATGTGCCCTATAGCAAAAATCTCTCCCCAAAAAAAAAAAAAAGAGGAAAAAAAAAAAGATATTAGCTATCCTGGAGGCAGGCAGGCAAATGATTAGTCTAATTGCTTTTTATTTCATTAACAAAATTCTTATCGAATTGAATTCATAGGTTATTAGTTATCTCACTCCAAATCTGGAGGTTTCATGGGAGTAGAATTTACTTATCCTCTATAAGGACCTAGGAAATCACTTTTTTTTTTCTAGTCATCTCGTCAAAGTTATTAAAATCTCTAATCCTTCAGAGAGACCATGATTCTGATGCAATACACCAGAATTAATCCCCAAAGTAATGCAGCTAGACTTGGACCGTCTTTGATATTTGTGTATTTGTAGATATTTGCCTTGAGTTGGTTCTAGTCATTTACCAATGAAACATACTATTATTAAAAAAATGATTAGATGGACTGGAAAGAGACAGAGGCCATAAAATGGGTAACATTTCTCCTTCTTCAAAGTCTGGGTTAGGTTCTGAGCTGCTGGGAAACTGTCCTTTCTGTCCCATTCCCACCAAAGCTGGCCTTGGAAACGTCATAGTTAACAGAAGAAGAAGGTAGCTCCTGTGGACTGTTGTGTAGTTTCTGAGAGCAACTGGAGGGTGTGTGGGTGATAAATATGTGGGCGTGGATGGGCACTGACCACAAAGGCCTTCCTCTTCCCGTTCCCACTCTCAAGAGTCACAGTGTAGACATCAGGCAATAAAGATGCGTTTCCTTCCTACTACCACGTATCAAAGATACATTCAGCTGATATTGGAAAGGAGTCATGGAGGTTAGCACGCAAAAACAGACACTCTGCAATGGCAGTCTTTACTTTGACTCATTTTCTGTGGAAGCCACATTTGCTGTTCTCGGCCGAGAACGACTGCTGTGAAGTAGCTACTTGTCCTAAGAAATACCACCAATGTCAGGGCTTAGGAAACTTAATGATCCTGATAGAAAAACTAATGATGTTTGACTATATTTCACTGCTGCTTGGGAATCCTTCAGAAAATAAGACATATGTCAGTGTTTTCAATTGTTTTTCTTCAGAGAAAAAATACTAAAGGTACTAAAGCATGCCTTCTTTTTTTTCTTTTGAGAGTTTTTTTGCTATAGGGCATGTGTGCTTGCTGGAGACAGAGGGAGAGACAGAGAGAAGGAAAGTGAGAAACCACACCCTAGGGGGGATGGCCATACCATAATCCCTTCTCCTCTAGTCTCCTCTTGGGATTTTGGGCACATACACACACACACACACACACACACACACACACGCACCCAGGGTAAGTTTCAAGCTGCTGGGTTCAGGACTCAAGTTGTGGTCGACTATGTGGGAGTCTAGTGCCTTAACCACTGCACTACTTGCTGGCCTCTCGAACCATGCAATTTGACGATGATGAGAGTTTTTTTTGGGGGGGGGCAGAGATTGTAAATGAGACTTAATTCACATGTGCTTATACATATTTATTAATAGAATTTAGAACAAACACAATTATAGCCTTTAGAAAAAGCAAACAAGAGATGGTTGGTGACTTTGAACAAAATGAAGTATCTACTATTTTTCAAAGCTTCCATCACATTTGCAAGGGGAAGGGTAGCTCTCTATGACTACTAACAGCATGAAATAGTGGTTATGTTATGCAACTTAGCAAGTAAAGCATTTTTCAGATACACACTATTTGAAAGGGGCAAGATGATTCAAGAATAAAAAAAACCCAAACCTCTCTAATCCACTGCAGGAAAAATGTTATAGTTTTAAAAATAACTTATTCTTGTTTCTTTTGTAAACTGTTATATACAAAAGTCTCCTAGCCCTAAATCATTTACAGCATGTATTTTTTGCTTCCAGGATGAGATTTACGAATGGAGTTGCTTGCCTGTGTTGCAGAACTTAAAAGCAAACATCTATATAAAATGAATGAATGTGTCTGATTTTGTCTTTTGTTCTAAAAGCTGCTTCCATCATTTGTAATTCAAAATGATCTCAACAAACTACAGGATACTTGAGGGCAAAGTAGTTCATATATACTTGGTTTTCATCCTTTAAAAGCATGCTGTAGATTATTGGTGAGTATATTACATTTTTTTTTCTTTTAATAACTGCTAGAGGGCATGTGCACTTGCCAGAAAAAGGCAGGGACAGAGAGAGAAGAAAGCACCCCTCAAAGGGGAACAGTCACACGGCAATCTCTTCTCTATTTTTCCATCTTGTCAGGATTTTGGGCACACACGCCCAGCATCAAGCTTTTTTTTTTTTAAGAGAGATTTTTGCTATAGGGCATGTGTGCTCGCTGGAGACACAGAGAGAGAGACATAGATAGAAAGAAAGTGAGAAATCACTGCCCCTGGGGATGGGAATGGCCATGCCACAATCCTTTCTCCTTCATTCTCCTCTTGGGATTTTGGGCATGCATACACATGTGCCCAGAGTGTTTCAAGATGCCGGGTCCGGGATTCAAACACAGTTGACCACGTGGAAGTCCAGCACTTTCATCACTACGCCACCTGCTGACCACCCCCCACCCCCCACTTACTTTCTTAATGTGCAAATGTCTCTATTTTCTTAAAGTTCTGTGTCATAGGCAGGTTTTTGTGTTTAAATAAATACATTCAGAGTGTCTGAAATGGTAACGAATACACCATTTGTCTTTGTAATTTTCTTTCCTCTTCTGCCAACCTGAGTAGCTTCTGTTTTGCACCTTTTGCTGAATCAAGGCAGGTGTGCTTTGTGTTCACTATTATAATCCATCTAAACGGACCGAGAGCAAGGTTTTCTCACTTCCTGATACGGGGCAGGAAATCGCCCTTATCTCCTCCTGTTGTCTTAATCGCCAGCCAAGGCACATAGACCGAACCTCCCACTCGTTCTATCTCTTTATCTAAGAAACAACTTCTGTTTTCATTTCCCCTCTGAAACATGTACACTGTGGTCCTCACTTGGCAAGTAATCCAATGGTCCGAAATAGTCTAATTATGACTTTTG